TAAAATAAAAGAATGTGATATTTTGTGTTAATCAGAAATAATATAATTGTATTTAGTTTTATCCTTGTTATTTTAACATAAAATCATAGTTTTATTATCCGACGAAAATACATTTAATTCGTATATATCGTAAACTATATATATGCACGATACAGTATACACTCCCGGTGATATAGGCCTAAGTGTTGAATTTAGAAACGTACGAAATACGTTTACTACACTAATACCTTCTACTGTACGACGTAGAAAGTAGTCTCTTAAAGTAAATGCGCAATATTACGTAGAGAAGTACGTTCGTTTGATTTGTCGATTACGAAACATTGGCAACACACTTCCAGCTGCGGAGTACCGTGCGTGCGGGTAAAAGTGTCGAGTAACAGTAGGCGTTATCGCAAAAATCACGCAGAAAGACGAGATAATAGACGACGGGTTTTTCATTGCGTTTCTTCACTAACGCACCTACACGATAGCGAAGGGTAACAGGAGGATTTGTTTACGATACGCGCTTTCCTCCACCGGTGAACGAAGCAAACAGCTCGGAACGATGACGTATAAGGCAAGACTATTGTAAGAGCTGGGAAAACGTTACAGAACTAAAAAGTTCAAAAAAAATACATTAAGTTAACCGTTATAAAAACGGTTTTGTAGTAATAGAAACTTGTCAGAAAAATATACATACGGTACACCCTCGATATAACGAATTTCATTCTGGAATGTTACCGTTTTTTTTATACTCCGCCCTGAGGGTCTCTTTTAGTCGGCTCATTAAGGGTTCGGCCAGGCCCAGAATGGGACGGATTCCGTGTCCTCCGAAGCAGTAGTCGGTATTATGTAATTCTTGATTATTTCGAGAATAGAAAGATGGCGTTAGTTGAAGGCATCAATATAAAGCATATAAGAATGCCCTCGGGGTCGGTCTCGGGACTTTATCGTGAAATTTATTTTTTGATGGATGTTTGCCGATATCGAGAAACTTTGGAATTGTTGGTCCCGCGTATGCAGACGGTTTGGTGTGGTCGATACCCGCGGATAGCCGTAAAGAGAGGAAAAGTCGCAATCTGCTGTAAAGATTCTTAATGAACGGTTGAAGTCTAATAAGATAGTTTTGTCTGCGGAGTATTGTATGTGTACGTTATTGAAAAGGCGTCTGGCGAAACACGACCGCCCGTTATTAAATTGAATAAGTTACATTTATAAAATACTTCTAAATATCACTTATTGTAGCTGTTATTACGTTCTATCAATGTACTGTATGTCTCTTTAATCGGAATGACTATTAAGTTCGGTAGACTATCGTTACAGCTTTCGGGTTAGACACTTGATTTTCTCATACGCATTTCGCTATGATATAAATGCTAAGCCCCTCTTCAGCGCAATACTACAAATTAGTAACGTGACAATTTCTGGCGTGTAGGTCATATTTACTGACATAAAACTATCATACTTAAAATTGTCAAACTTATACATATGGTTCTGTCTTCTAAAACCACGGTGTATAACGGGTAACATTGGAAAGATTTTTGAATACAGCCATTAAAAACACCAAAAATACACTTTCCAAACATTCATTAGGAAAGCCTATTAATATTTTTATATTTTTTTTTCCTTCAATAACATCACGTATTCTAATAAAATAACAATATAATACAATACATACCCACTTTTATATTTTTCAACAGATATACAGTACTTATATTTTATGAGCATCTTTTAAACGATGTGTATTTTCTACAACATAACTTTGGAGTAACTGTAATTATAATAACCGTTTTACGGGTTAATTACACGTAGTGTAGTAATATTAAAAAGATTTTCGAGAGAATACATACTAATAATAATACATAATAAAAGAAGTGTCTAACCCGAAAGCTGTAACGATAGTCATTCCGATTAAAGAGACATACATTCGTAGTACATTTATAAAGTAATCGCGTATACGTAATGGAGAATGCTTAAATATTACTCCACACGTTGAATACGTGTATTGTTTTTACGGATTGAGAACCGTTGCGGGGAAAAAAGGAAGTTATCGAAATTATTTATAGAGGATTAGCGATATCAATATTGGTATATGGCAGACGAGGCCGAAAGCGTTAATTTCTGCTTTTTATTATTATTTCCACAATTTATTAAAAAAATTCAATATTTGTTTTATATTATTTTTATATTATATAATAAAATGGCGGTACAGAATAAAAAAGTAGAGAACTGCGGCCCCCACCGAACTCGCGCTTGCCCACCCCCGGTATATGATGTAAACGTATGGCGGAACTCTATTAAAAAATATTATCTAGATAGGTTTACGAAAACTCAGTGTTGCGTCGATAATGACGTCAAAAGGATAGAGAGCAATAACTACTCCCGCTCTCCAAATATCGACTAATTGTTTACCAATTGATATGGAAATGGTATTATTTTATTAAATATAATATAAAGAAAGAATTATTAGCATAAGGACAGAGTAGACGGGATATGGAAGTTAAGGGTAGAATAACACGAATGTTTATCCCTACAGTGGAACAAAGAGTAAATAAAGATTGGATCAGTGGTCGAGTGGACAAGGAGATTTTCGGCAAAAACCGTATCGACTTTCGTCGGTCGAGAGCCACGTGGAGCATTTTTTGTTCGAATGTGATTTGAGAGACGAAACTGATATTTTACATGTAATTAACGAAAGTGGTCTTTTCGAGACAAGTGTTTCGCCAACTGAAAGTAAGTTTATTAAAATAACTAAAGTTGTTAAATTACGTTTGAAATTAGAAATTTGATAGTTTCTGGTTAATTTTACCCGCTCGATTATAACCGAATGCTCGTTTGTTTCGATCGTGTGTGTTTAGCCCCATTTATATTTTTAAAGGAGTTTCTAATCGGCTATCTATATATATAACCCATTCAACATGTATTCGTCCTTCCGTCCGTCCGTCCGTCCCGTAACCGTTTGATAACGGACACTAGAGGCGCCCCTATCGTGTGTCATATTTCAAACATTCAAATTAAATCAACAATTTGAATTATTATTTAAATNTATTATTTCAGGGGCTTATATCTCGCGAAGGGTCGCGAGTAGGAATATGGTTCCTTTGCCTTTATTGTTCGCACAGAGGGCTACAGTTTGGGGGGGGTCGCCACCTCTTCACCTAATCTTACCATTGGGACTTTAACAGAGCTGTAGAGCATATTGATAGGAACAAAAAAGTCAAAGGAACCGTGCTTCATAGAAATTTGTAAACAACGCCCACTAGGGGGCGTCCCGGGCTACTAGTTTTAGTATATACAATACAGTGGGTGATCGGTTAACGAACATAATCCATTCTAACACTTTGTTCGTTAACCATTATCGATTTACCATAGGTTTTTATGGCAATTTGATTAATTCGTTCCGGAGACTCCAAAAAATAAAAAGAATATACACTTTCTTACTAGGTTTATTTATATGTAATAATAAAAATACATATATACGCAGTCTGGCATTTTTTCGTTTGTGAGATTAAAGAATCCGTCTAACGTCCATGGCTTTTCTCTCTTCTTCGGGATTTTTCGGAAGTAATTAATAGCGTGGTCATCGTAGAGATCCCCCAGCCTATTAACCTCGACCCGGTTTGGACGCCATTCTAAGACCGTCGTTCCGACATCCTCCCGCTTCTTCGAAAGATCTTTAATAGCCTCTCTTTCCGAAGAAAACGTATCGCGCCGAGTTGTCGGGGTTCTTCCGTCGTCGGATCCGTTACCAGCTCTTCGACGTTCTTTACTTCTCAGATGTGATTTTTGTTACTCCTTTAGCCTTTCGAGTCTTCTCGATTATACCGTATCTTTCTCAGATAAGATCGAACAGCGGCTTACCCGTAGATCCGTTCCATTCCAGCCGTACCGCCCGGCGACTTCCGCCCACTCTACCTCGACTATGGTACTCTCGCCTTTCGAAAATAAAAACCCGGGCCAAACTTAACCAGTGCTCGCTCGGCATTCTCGCCAATATTATAAAAGAATTGTTTCCGTCAGAAAAATAAAAGGCTGGAATTACGAGGGAATACTTTCCCATCGGTATATAACCGATCGGAAAGTATAAATAAATAAAAATTAAAAATATTAAAAAATACGCCCGAAATTTTATATAAATTTATGAATATTTACCGCCCCGGGCAAATGCCCAGTTTTCCCATACTGTAGCGCCGATCGTGCCTGTAAGCCATGTAGTTAGTGAAGCGAGTTCGTAACCAATTTGCAAACCGTTAGAGCGACCATTATTCAAAACCTCATTGGTTATCGTAAAGTGCACGTTATTCTGTTGAAAAGTATACAAAGGTTTTGAAATGCCTGTGTTGGATGGCATAAAAATCCTTTTGACTTTGTTTGTAAATAAACTTCTGGCAGCGTGATGATTATCTTCGTCGATCGTAGCCAAGGTTTTCGGGTGGTGCGAGTTCTCATTGTGGCGTCCCCCTGTAAAGACTAAACTGTACAGTACATAGAGACTAAAGATAACATACATTTTTTACGGCGGACGGCCGTATTTATCCTTCCCGGAAGCGGAAGTAATAGAAAAGTGTGGGGAGAGGAGACGAAAGAATGCAATTCTACCGATTTCTACAGATTAGTCGGCGGCCAGTGAAAAGTTTACCAACCTTCCGGCAATAAGCGAGGACGGAATAGGCCGGCACCATCGTCGCGTCGCTTTTTCCGCTTCCCCCGGCTTACGTACTGTACGTCGGATTATCCGGCGCGCGCTCCCTTTGGCCCCAGCCGTTTCCGGTCGAACACTCACGCGCACTAATGGCGGCCGCGCCGTTTTCTCTCACTCCGGCCCAACGTACGGTACGTCTTTCGGACGCCCGGGGGGGTGTCCGTCCGGTCCGTATCTTTCCGTAATTACCGTAAACCGTCCGGGATCCGCGCCGCGCCTGCAAAAACCGTCGGCGGTAGGAAATTTAAGAGGCGGTGGGAGGAAGAACGGAACCGTTCGATAAATCTTTCGGGAATAAGAAAATAAATATAAACTCTGCTTTATTAAAATATATACAAATATAAAATGGCTTCTCTTCTATAAATAACCTCAGAACCTCTCGGCCATCAGAGGCCGTCCGTCTTCCGACCCGTAGTCCCAGTCGGCCGTTTCGCCCTCTTCCTCCTCCTCCTCCGTCCGGGCCGGGCGGCGGGGACAACCCTTGGCCTCCTCCCGGCGGGCGGGGTGGCCGGCCGGAACCGAAGCCCCTTCCTCTTCCCTGCCCGGGTGGCCGGGCGGAGAGGCGGGACGGGGCCGGCGCCGCCCCGACCCGGCCCTTCTTCCCGAAGGAGGCGGAGGCGGAACCCGGCGGCCGGGAGGGCGGGGACCGTACCAGCCCACCGAAGAGGCGTAGGAAGGGGGCGGTTCGGGATGGACCGCCTCCGGCAGGAAGCGCGACATGTGGGTCTCCCGGTCCAGGGCGCGACGTTCCACCAGTCTGAGGGAGTAGAGGCGACAGGTGCAGCCCACGGCCACCACCAGCAACAGGCCGCACACCAGAGAGCCCATCACCGCCGCCGACACCACGCTGTTCTTCAGACCTGCAAAGAAAAGGCACAAGTAGTCCGCCGACCAAACAACTTCCTCGGGCGCCGGACAAAATCGGCCGACGGCTTTCCTCCGCCGAAGGAAGAAGGCCTGGGCCACCCACAAGAATTCGGTTACGCTTCCGCCCAACGTAACTAAAGCGGGAAGAAAAGCAGCGGGGGGCGGTCCCCGGACGGGAATATCCGCGTATTTGGAAAGGAAGCCCGGGGGCCGCCCACCGCCGGGCGGGGGACGAAGTGGCTTACAGTTTCGTTCGTCGGAGCCGTCGCCGCAGTCGTCCGTCCGGTCGCACTTCCAAATCTCTCGGATGCAGCGTCCGTTGGCGCACAGGAAGCCTCCCCCGTCCGACTTGCAGCGCTCGGGTCCTGGAAAAGAAAGGCGCGGCCTGGGTCCGGCGGGAAAGAGGCGGGTGGAAGGAAAAAAAGAAAAGAAGCTCACCGCAGTTGATCTCGTCGGAGTCGTCGCCGCACTCGGCCACCCAGTTGCACCGCTGCACCCCGGAGTAGCAGCCTCTTCCGGAAGAACAGGCCATCTTGTCTCCGCAGCCGAAGCAACCCTTCTCGTCCTCTCCGTTCTCGCAGTCCGTCACCCTGCAACGGTTCCATATCGATAACGTCAAATGGCACCGCGGTCTTTTAAAAACGCCCTTCTTAAATCTAGGCGCGTAGGAGGGAAATTACGGAAGGCGCCGGTTCTCCATCTTCGGTACCAATCTAAAATTCCGGGAAGAGTCTTTCGAACAGTCCGTCCACTTCCGGTAAGAGAAACCGATAAACGGAATAGAAATGGCGCAATTCTTTCCTTTCGTTTAGTTTTTTGGATCGGAGGGCAAAGCTGGAAATTAATCTAAGAAATAGCCACCGGTAAAATTTCCTCCCTCCGTTAGGAATATCCCGGCCTTGGGGGAAAATTCCTGGAAACGGAGCGACGGAAAGTAAATCGCCTTGTATTTTACCACGCCCGCGACGATTAGCGCTAGTTCGGTCGGCCACGGGCGGCGGATAACCCGGGCCTGCCGCCGCCCAGTGGGTCGGGTAAAGAAGTAGGAGGACACAAATGAAAAAATGTTTAACCGAAAACGACTCTTACGCGTTTACGAATTAAGAAAGAACATCGCAGCCGATCGATGGCTATGGATAATTTTTAAATACGCGCCGCGGCTTGGATAACCGACCAAAGAAAAGAATCAGTTTTATATCCGTGTCCGATAACCGTTTACTCGCTTGGCCGGTCGTTTCCGGCGCTTTTAACAAACGTTACGACGGACGGTAATGGCCGAGGTACGTATTTAATACGCGTATTTTATTAATTATAGTCGACGGTAAGATTTTATATAAAATTATGGCAAATCCGAGGGATTTTTACACTTTATTTTAAAGAAGTAGAACTTTAAAAGTTTCGCATCTTTTATCGTTATATAGAAATTGAATGAAATGGAAGTTATGCAAAAAAAAAAAATACTAAAATCGAGGCATTAAATTAAGAGCCGTCTAATCGTTTGATAAAGTATTTCCAGGCCGAAGGCGACCCTTCCCAATCTGTAGAATTAATGCACGCATCGCGCAATCTTCTCTTATATATTTCAATTTTTTCGGCGCAAATCGCCAACGTCGGCGAATGTATTGGTTTAATAATACTCGCTTCGTCCCATTTGACCACCGAGCCCTCAACTGGCGCCAATTGCGATAGTATTGCGGCGTTAGATCCCTGGCCGATATTCTATTTGTTCTTTTAATCTGACTGCTAAGTTTCTATTAGTGACACTAATGTAACTTTTATTAATGTCTAGTTCACGATTTTCGTACGGAATCTTGTACACTCCCGCTCTTTTTTCTTTATTTACGCTGTCTTTGTCGTTCCTTAATAACTTGTACGGGTTGGGGGCTGTCTCGAAAATTAACTCTGACGCTATTTTGTTCGTTTCCGTGAATCGAACAAAATAGCGTCGGCATGGAAAGCGGCAACTTTAAAATTATAAAATTATATTTATGAGCATGCGCATTCGAGAAGAACGTGCAGTTTGGAATCTCCGTTATGCAAATTTGAAATATATTTCGATTGATAATTCGATCCTGATGAAGGTTTGTGAATCAGACCGAAAACGTTCGACAGATGTAAACTAGACTGCATTTTAAAGGTATAGTGAATTTTTGTTCCACTTTACATTTGCCAACAAAAAGGTAAATTAAACGGTTTTAAAAATCAACCAACGGCGTTATCGTGTTTTATTGGAAAAATAACTTTTATGTTATTAACGATAATCTATATCTATATCTATACATATATAAATGTACGTGTATGTCCCTATATTTCACTTTTCCGCCAAAACTACACATCGCCTTGAATGGTGTTTGTATGTGGTCTACATTCGTGCACTATGGGGGTTGCGTCTCGATAGCTATAAGGGTGCGGAAGATATGGGGCTGAAAGTGGTTGAAAGTGGCTTTCTATTTCGAATGTTTTGTTCGAATTTGATTCGAACATAAAATTCGAATATTGGTTCGATTATAGAACGATTTGTAAACGTTCCAGAAACGTTGAAAATAGTTTGTTTGACTGGACGTGAACAGGAGACGTTCGGAAATAGAATCGGGACCAGGTCTGTAATTAGTATGGAAACAAGGGGACCTAATTCTTGCATTCTGTGAAAACGGGTAAGATTAGCTATAATGTAATTATATTAATCTTCACTATCGTTACTTTTTGCCCACAAATAAAAACCCAGCGAAGCGGGTCCTTGCAGCTAGTAAATAAATAAAATTGAGTCCGGCGCCATCCTACGATATTCTGTGGTAAAAACTTTATATTTTGAACTACTATAAAATGGCAAAACGGTTAATTTTGGGTTAGAGACGCGTTTTATAAAAAACCGTAAACCGGTTATTAAGTCGGCGCCACCACCCCTATCTCCTTGTCTCCCCGACCTTCGACCGCCAAAATTTAATGGTACGGATGTCCCAACATCCGAACTACCCTGCCAATATTCGTTTCTTAATCTTTACCCCGTCCCGATATATCAAACAACGCAAGTTTTTGGCCGATTTTTTTTTGTTTTTTTTTTGGGCGGGGGAAGGGTGAAAACATTTAAATTTGCAAAAAAGCCGGAGGTTCAAATTGTAGGCCGATCCGATAATTTCCCTCGCCACGGCCCGGAAAGCCAAGTTTTCGTTTTCCATTTTCGGCCGGGGCCACAGGATTCGGACCAACTAGTTAAAGTAGAAATGCCGATAATTTTATGAAAAAGTAGAGAACGAGGCACAACCCCAAAAATGTGCCGAGGCCATAAAAAATTACAAGTTGGGAAATAAGGAACGAACATTAGAGAGGTTGCGGCCGACGTTTTCATCGCGAAAACGTGTACTTCGGACGTTCAGCGCCGCTTTCCTATAAGCCTAAAAGTTTGACAATGGTGTTTGGATAGTCAGTGGAATCGTGCTCGACGTCCCAAACACCATTGCCAAACTTCCAGGTCTTTAGGAAAGCGGCGCTGAACGTCCGACGTACACGTTTTCGCGATGAAAACGTCGGCCGCAACCTCTCTATTATACGGCGTTATATTCGATCACGGTTAACCGTCACCCAAATTTATCCCCCGGATATCAGATCGGCATCTTAGAAAACGGCCGGACATCGCCGTTAAAATATTAACCGTCTTTCGGATTTTTTAATACGTAAGTTTAGCTGGCCGCCGGTTTCACCGCACGGCGAAATTTTCGTAAAGTTTATTGCCCGACCGTGGGCAGGCGCGCCACATTTTTCGTTGGCAGTTAAATTTTAATCAAAAGAATATCGTCCACTCGGCGTCAGTTTACTGGGCTGGCCCAGAACCACGGGTTCGGTCCCGGGTCGAAATCGTGCACACCTTTTTCCATCGCGGGACGTCCCATCCAGAGAGGACTCAACCTTACACCATCCGAGTTAATCGTCTTCGTATAATTTTAATATTTTACTCTCGCCGCCACACTCCAAAAAAAAAAAAATTTCGGCCGACGTCTAAGGCCCGGCTGGGGTACGAAAAGATATATAAACAAACAAAAAATAAATAACCACAAATTTAAAAAAATAAAAAAGAACATTGTATTGATGTTTATATTCCCTATTATTAATAAAAATTTTATCCGACATTACTTACGATTTGTTCAGAAGCGACTTATTTAAATAGGGCCCCGATGAAAATTTTGTCCGGGACCCGCCACGGGCTTAATTCGGCACAGCCCCTTTTTTCGTTTCCACAAAAGAAATTTTCGGACTCTCCCACTAGTTACACTGGCATTACGCCCAACGTGCCAATCCGTCTCTGTTTGGACCGGGCACACCATCCAACCCCGGAGAACTTTGCGCCGGGCGGGTGCTAATTTTGTTCTTTGAAGAACAAATCAAAACCGACCCGAGGTATGATCAAATATTGTAAACTCTCTCTCGGTGCGACCAGTCCGAAATACGCGCGATCCGTTAATCTCTGTATGTAGGCTATATAAGTTATGTCTGAATAAATGTTGTTTTGTTGATAAAAGTCGTCTTTAATTCGAATATCGTTCACGCCTCACCGACGACCCCTCTCACCTCCTCCGCTCGACCTGACGAAAAGATTCCCGACTCTACGGGATATAAACCCATTATACTTGCCATCCACTGACCAGTGGGCAGTTCCCACCGAACTGTTGCCTATCAAACCGAGGTACGACTTCGTCTTACCACAGGCTACCCACACTGTGAAACGCCGCGTGACCAAAGTGCGGTCGGAAAGTTCCGCGATTGGGAAAGAGGTAACCAAAGATGTACCAGTTCTCAGCTTAAATTAAATATTTATTT